CTAATTCTTACTTTTATTTAAATTAAACATTTAGAAATTATAAAATTATGAAATAATATAATTTTTAAATTATAAAGACATGAAAAATGTACGATTTTACATGAAAATTTCTGTTTTCTTGATTGAAATTTTTTTCATTAAAAAGTTTAATTATTGATAAAAAATAATTATATGACAAAAGATAACACGTCGACCAGATAATTAATTATAATTAGTAAAAGATGGATTTTTAAGTTATTAAAAAATTTAATTAAATAATACTATATGGTATAACAAAATAATATGATCCTCTAGAACAGTTTTAATTTTAAAGAGCTTCCGGCATAAGAAAAAACCCGATATTTTTATATATTAAAAATTAATAAACTGTTTAGCCATTGTTCTATAGTTAGAAAATAAATATAAGAAATCTGTTGGCAGGTATAAGATATATAAAGCATTTCTAATATAAAGAAAACTAACAGAAATATGTTCATTTGATATGATAATAATATCTATGATATTATTATTGGTAGCTATTATATGATATCAATAAATTTTTCCTGTTTTCTTTTGATGTAAATTCTATTGGGAAAAGATAATTGGAAAACAAGGCAAAACAGATTGTTTTTAATTCATAAATAAAATTATTATAACGATAAATAGTTATTAAAATTTTCACTGGCATGATGTTAATTTTCAAACGAAAAGTATTAAAAATGAACAATATAAAAGCATCTAATTTTTATCATGTTATACAATCATTTCTAACATAATATATAATTTCCTGTAAAAAGGAAAACAAAAAGTTTCTTTCGAGTGGGCTGTTTCTCCTTTTTATCGCTAGGATCGCAACATTCGCTATGGATAACATCCGCCGAATAAGAGTAAAAAGAGCGATCACCTGGCAACGGCTAAGTGATAAACTGAGAAACATCTCAGGTAAGCAATCTTCTCTACTTGCACAATTTTAATCTTTATACAATTTATGTAAAAAATTTTATCTTTTTATCTCTAAACCTAATAGTTATAATATTATAATTAATTATTTAGAAAATAATTAATTTTAATAGTCTGTTCAAAAGTAAATATTCTATTTATTTTCATTACAGAAATAAATCAAATTTTTTCCTGATTAGTTATATATATACCCGTATAAAATTTTTTACTACAAATTAATAAAAATTATTTAAAATCACACTAATTGTGCTTATAAAATGTTAATGAATAATTACTATCCATAATTGATTTATTTTGTTATAATTTAAGATAAAGGCTACGAGAATTTTATAAATATTTTCCTTCGTCAGGAAATAATTTCTTAATCAAAGTTATAGCGTATGACTATTACTGTTTTGCACGGCGTTATTTATTATCGATAATCGAAATGCCACGAATTGTCTTGTCATGAAAGATAATATATATAAAATTCCTGATTCAAACAGGCACATAATAATTTTAAAGCATAAATACTTAATGGATTTATTCAACACAGTTGAAAATTATTTTTTTAATTATAGAACATACTTTAGATATAAACATGATATAAGTCAGAACTTAGTTTTTGTGTGATGAAAAGATCAATGCTTCAAACTTGCAACATTTCGAAGACAGCTGTTGCAAAATCAGATGACAATGCCTTTGTTCGAGTCATTCATAATGGAAAATAATAATATACGAAAAGAACAACATGCAAAGAATATGCAAATTGATATATTTAATCATATCCATTATTTGAAGAGACACGTTTTTGAAACGTTTTCACATAATTTTAATATCAGATAACTTTGCTGAAATTGTAGTTATAAATTATTTTAATTTCTCTTTATTAAAGCTTATGACGATTATCTTTTTTTTATCTTTTCTATTCGTAATTGTGGCTACTAATGATTTAGTGAAAAGGATTTATACTAATTTCTTTTAATTACTATTTTAAATAAGTAATTTTATTAATAATGTTGCGCATTCAGTTCACTTCTATGAGAGAAATTTATATTTTGTTTACTTTGGTTTCGTTTTTCCGATAAACCACGTTAGGATTTGCATATGTCTTTTATCGCATGCTTTTAATGCAAATTTTTGTATGTACTTTCAAATGAAATGCGATATTCTGAAAATTTTAAGTTTTCTTTATTCATAGATTTCGTAAAACGATACCTTTCTAAAGTATATTTAACGTTGATACGTTCTACGAAGCTTGTTTGAACGTTATTTAATATGATTATAAAAAGAAAATGTTAACGTTTTTCTTTATTACACAGATCACGTGAATGAATTTTATTTCATCATGGATCAGTTAGAAGAGCTACAAAACAAGAAAAATACTTGTTTAACAAACATAGAAAATTCAAACCAACCTAAAGATGGTAGGAAATTTGTTAATATATTGTAATTTTAATCATAATTCCATTATTTTCTTTATAATTTTACTAAATTTAACTTGACGTTATCAGCAGGAACTACGATGCAATAATGCATATTTTATCAAAGTTTGTTCGACTTTACTATTGTATATGTAGTGTACAGTATTATACTTCACTTCATGTATATGTATATGTAGTGTACAGTATTATTAATCAGAAACGAATTTATACAACTTTAAGTTTATATATTAATGTTAAAAATCTTTATAGCTTTGTAAATTTTTTAATTGTGCGCTGTACAAAGTAATTTAAGTTCTATAGCTTAAAAAATTAAAATTTCATAAATACTTAAATTATTCAAAACAGATGCTCATAAAAGATCTGATTTATTTGATATAAAAAGGATAGGATAATTTTGAATGTTCGAGAAATTGAATATAATTAGGGATAACATTTTAGCTAATTACGAGCATTTCTATGTTTTTTATATTTGAATCTTTTAATAGATTCTACTTTTATAAAGTATTTCGGAATGATTAATAATATTTTTATTTCCATTACAATATATTATTAATAAATTAATAATATTGTACGGAAATAAAACGGAATTATCAACAGTGTTATAGGGGAGTCGACTGTATAAAATTTAAAAGTTTATTTATTATTAATTTTCTTCAGGTTATGATAAGAAAAAAGAGTGAATAAGAAATATTAATTAATATTTGTGAGAGTCTTTGAAGATGATAACTTCCGAAAATAAGTTTTTTGTCGTTTGTAGATATAAAATGTTAATAATAAACCATTATATATTTTTAGATATGTAATAAACACATACATTTTCATAAATACAATTTTCCTAAAAGTTTTATATTATAATAAAGACAAGCTACAATATTATACAGTATTTGTATCAAATTAAGAATTTTTTCAGTAAAATTCAATAGAGAAGCAATTTATAAATACAATCGATCCCCTTATAACACTGTTGATTTTTGTTTTATATGAATTCCATGTTGTACGAGTCACTTAGATTTTACAAATACGTGAGCCGTTCACAGCCCGGCACAGGTATTTGTAAAATCTAAGTGATTCGTATAACATGGAATTCATATAAAACGGAATTATCAACAGTGTAGGGGAGTCGACTGTATAAAATTTAAAAGTTTATTAATTATATAATATTAATATAAATAATGCAAGAGCATATGAATGGTTTTTCTCGTACAATAAAACAAATAAAACAAATCATTTTGTGAAAGTGAAATGTACTATAATACAAGATTTTACACTTTAAAAATACTTTTTTCTTTTATATTCGCGAGTATTAAAATAGTAATTTCTTTCCGAATAAGTAGAAATGTAACTGAAACTTCTGCTACAATAATATATTACTTAATCGAATTTCAAACTTGTCCTTAAATGTTTAATTTACCTTTTGAGATTATATTTGATTTGTAAAATTTGAACTTTTTCCACGTATTGCTTTTCGATCTTGATGTTTCTTTATTCGATTTCAAATATTTTAATATATAACTGTACTTTCTACCTAAAATTAAATTCGATGTAATGTGAATCTGCTACTTAATCCCAGTGCTGCTTTGTGAGGACGATATAATCGATACTGAAATGGTAAATCTTCAATTAGGAAATTTCTTAACAGGAAATTAGTATAAATTCGAATTGTAAAATTATCTTTATTAAACTTGTTTTTGTTACTTTCAATTTTACACAAATTATATTAAAAAATAATATTATGACCATATTAGATTGATTAATGAATTACATCTATAAATATTTTGAAGATGAAATGCTTTTGTTAAATATTTACAAATAGTCAAATAACTAAACAAAAAATTTATAAGTGAATTTTTTAACATTAATCTCTATTTAATACTGTATTTAATTTTAATCCAAAAAGTAAGGAAAATAGAAAATTTTATGTAGAAAATAATTTTTTTTAAGATATAAGAAAACAAACATAAGATTAAATGCCAGTTTAATATATTCTTCAGAAACAATTAATTGAAGAGCTCATTTTATTTAACATTGTCTTTCAATTAACTTTTCAAGTATCAGCAAAACACAAAAAGTTTTATGCGTTTCTGCTTATAGGAGATTGAAATCATAGTATTATTTATTTATGTCTGTTTGAAATAAACCTTAACAAACTATTCTATACACTTTGTATGAGATTGTGGTGTTTATATTTTGGAACACAAAATGGAATTATGGTTTGATTTGTTGTTTGTTTTCTTTTTCTTTCAGTATAATGGAACCGTAAGTAATTTCGTTTTAAAAACAAAATATATGAGAAAAAATCAAACAGGAGAACATAGTAATGATCAGAAGTATAGGGAAATTCTAATTTTCGCAAATTTATTTTTAATTCGATTATGATAAGATAAATAGATTATCTGACTCCATCGATTCTTTTTAGAATGGAAAACTAGTAGTTTTCCGTGTACTAAAGATTAGTACAGTACGGTAATATGATAAGATAATTATTTATGAAATTAAAGTGTCAACTTTTCTGTTTACTTAATATTTTTAATTTATAGATTTAAATGAGAAATGCAAATTAAAAAAAACAAAGAAAAAATACGAAATAAATTTTAAACTATTATAATTTTAGTTAAACATATAAATTTTTGAATGTTTTTTAAGTATAATGAATCATATTTTAATTAGAGATATGTCTTATTTTTATAAATTAATTTTTTTTAAAAATGGCACAAATTTATATTATTATTGTATAAACAATTTTTCCAGCTTTGAAGTGATATTATTATCGATTCTTTCTTTAAATAGTATATTTATAAAACCTCCATGCTAGTGTTATACCTGTACAGTATTGTAACTAATTATTTGTTTGTCTCTACTTCAAATTAATGAAGTGTCAAATCAAAAGTCATTATAAACGATTTTAGATATTGGATGTAAGATTAATTTCTATGCTATATGATTTTTAAACTCAATAATCAAAAGTATAAATTCATACTTTCAAAAAATATTAAATTTGGACTGTTGTATGCATATTTTTACTATTGTTTATCGCATTATTAAAAATACATCGTACAATTTTGCTAATAAAATTTTTATCTTTATTTAATATTTCCTATTAGTAAATACAAGATACTTAAAAAATTTTATTTGTTTTAATGTTGAATTTTTTAAATAATAAAATGTTTTATTTTATATTTTAATAGGTACAGTACATTTCTTTTCCTTTGCTTATCTATATTCAATAGAATACAGATAAAGATTTTTCATTCTGGGTTTAAATTTTTTCCACTTTTACACTTTTTTGCATCTTCTTGTAACAATATTAAGTGATTCCTGATAATCATATTTATCAGGGATCATTCAATATTCTTTATTTTATGTAAAATAAAAATTTAAATATATACTGTACTTTGTAATTATTTTTTAATTAAAATAAAATTTATCTTTATTTATGCGTTATAAGACTTAATTAGATTTATTATAAAGAAAATTCTGTTCAGATAAAAAAATTATCGGAGATATTTTAAATTTTCTGTAAGTTAAATCATCAACGTGTTAATAACTAAAGCTATAATGCATTACTTAGCTTAGTTTATTTTTTATTTTTTTTATTTTTTCTACTTTAATAAACGATGAATTAATGATAAACTACGAATAAATTAATGAAATTAAATAGAATTTATATCCCACAAAACTAAAATGTGATATTGGTGTTATTGTAAAAGAAAATAATCGTATGTGAAACATATTAAATGACAGAATATTATTTTGGATGATCATCAGTGAATAAAGACATTAGTTACAGAATCTTTCTATTCTGTGTTTTGCTGAAGCAAGCCCTAGAACCGACAGAATCTTTCCATTTTTATCTTGAATAAGCTTTACCTTTGCACGAAGAATAATTGAAACCGTCTTTTAAATCATCGATCAAGTCACTTATAATATTTATAATTTTGTAAATATGTAGTATTTACTTTCTATAAATATTTAAAATGTTATTTTGCATCATATGAAACATTAAGAATATTAAATACGTCCGTAAAAAATTTTAGATATGATTCTATATATGGAAAGAGTGATTAAACGAATTAGTCCTTTTTCCTTTTAATTTTGAATTATTTCAATTGAATATTCATCATTTAAACATTTACATGATCAAATCAAATTAAATTTTATTGACTTAAAGATCTCGCTCTGTCGGAGGATACAAATAATACAATTTAACTTTATTCATTTTACTCATCTAACAAGTTAAAAATATTTTAAACTCGATTTACATATCTATAAATTAAATTTTTAGACAAAGGCAAATAACAACAATTATCTTAAACAGTGCGCAAATAGTTACGCTTTATATTATAGAATATTGTATAATATAAAAGAAGGTGAACAATGGTATTTTGTTTTTCAGCACAGAGTAAAAGAGTGATTTTTAAATAAATTTAAATTGCGATTTCGTCGTATTCGCAATGTTATACAGACATCTTTGTAGAACAAATTGTAACGAAACAAATAACTTGTAGATTGTAAACGCTCAATATAGGCCTACTAAAAAATGAAATTGTGACTGTAATGCTTTTATTCGGTCCTGTTGGACAAAGTAGTCTTTCCGCCTATTAATAATTGTGATGACCGATAAAAAGAACAGGAATTTGTCCCATCTATTATCAAGGAAAAATTAAACCCTGCAGAAGTCGCAATCCCTGATAATGCTTTAATGATAGAATGGACAGCATCCTACCGGTAGGATAGATCATCCGCCTGGTAGGATGATTATAATCGCTTTATTATACAGTAATGAAGCATACCAGCAGGATGAACTATATCGCATTTTGTAGCTTAAACTTCGAAAGCAAGATCTGAATACACAACTTTGTGATTTGGCCGCTAGGAATCGCGGAATTAAACATGACAGCTCCCATACGGCAAGGAGACCGTGTGTTTTCTGTGGCCTATTTCGATTCACATTTTTCTAATAGTGACCGTAACTTACCGTTTCTTTCGCTCTCACTCCGTTATCCTGCAACCCATCCTATCAGCAGGAAAAGCTTATGGAATATTGGTATAGTGCTGGTAGGATCATTATACTTGCGCATCTATCCTACCGTTAGCGCCTACCATCTAGATAGCCTGTGTTCATTCTATCATTAAACCATATCATTTGCATGTTTCTAAGATTAGCTTCTGCAATAAATATATTCTAAAGATTATGGGTTACAGAATGTGCGCATAAAAATGTTATGAATAACATTGAAAACACTTAAGCCTTAAAAGAAATCGTCCAAAAGCGAGACGAATGGCTTAAGCTGAATGGATTTGCCTAATTTAAACATGTTTCTCATATAATAAAGTTGGATCTTCTCTATCATATCTAAAAAAATTTAAAGACCAAATTGAGTTAAACATACTGAAGAGCAATATTCACATCATTAACTTTCATTTTAACACACGATGATCAGGTTGTACAGATTAATAATAATTATATTATTATTAATCTGTACAGGTTGTACAGATTAATAATAATTATATTATTATTAATCTGTACAACCTGAGGAATAATTCTATAAAATGATTTTTAAATATACCAAATGTATTGAAAATTACTTTTAAATATTTATATTTGTTCACAATCTCTACTAGAGAACCCTCCAAAACCTGCCTTGCAGAGAAGACCACGTCGACTGAAAACCATTATTTTTGACTTAATCTAAAATCTTTGTTTCTACAATACTCAGAAACAATAGTAACTTAATCTTCTATAAATTTATTTCTGTCTTAGATAATAATACTAAATCTGCGTAAATAAAAAAACTCCACAACAATGGACAAATATTAATACTATCCGATTCCATATCTGGAAAGCATTTATATACATTAGAAATGTATAATATAAACAGGTATGGGCTAAATGGACCGCCCCGAGGCAAGCCACCAGAAAAGAAAAAAACTAAATGAGACAGTACTTCTTCGGTGTTATGTAAGTGGCCGAAACTTGGTGTATAATTTCTGAATTATTCTGTCACCTTCGCTGGTAAACTTGTCTGTCTCAATAAGATAATTAATTTCTAACAGAGTCAAACGGTTCAGATTAATTTGCAAAAAAGTCTTAAGAGATTTTGCATATCATATCAATAGCGATTTTAGAGAAATGCACTTTTATAGATTAATCTCATTTAAAATATTCAAACAATAAATAAATAATCTCATTTGTTTAAAAGAGTCAATTTTCTCCATTATTTCAATTTAAATTGAGAATCTGTTAAAGAAATAAATCTTATTTATTAAGTTTTACCAAGTTAAAAGTTTATATGTATTGTTTTATATTGACTTAACCATACTACAGTAGAAATATAATTTTAATTTTATATCATATAAAATTTAAAAACTTATCATTTATTTTTATTTTATCGTCAGATAATATATTTTACTAATTATCATAATTAGATAGCTCTATAAATGTAATTTGTAAAATGTATTTCGTAGAAATAAAGACGGTTTTAATATGTTAATCTCATTTATATTAATGGTTTGGGATTATAATCGAGTTTTCAAATAAAATTAGAAATTATCAAGTACTAATAAAATACGATATTGTTTCGATTTGGTTTTACGCTACAAGTACAGTCTTTATTTTTGTTCAAATTTTACTTTTTATTCAATTTTTATTCATTATTTATTCAAATTTCGCTTTAGTAAAGCATTTGAATGACAACATTCTGGCAGTGGCTATGGTAGCGGAAAATTAAAATTCTATTCATTATTTACGCCTACGCGTATAAATCATATAAAATAAATTGAATTTGTAAACTCATCTTCACCTAGTCCGAAACCAACTTCGGACTGAGCGCAAATTAAATTGGTGATGGTAAATTAAATGGGAAAATAGCAAAACTCTGATTATTTCCTGTTTCTTGAAAATTCTGAAATAAACAAGATCATTTTTATAAAACAATTTGCCAAGTGAATGTCACTCTAGATAATTTACTCACCTTCATTTGTTACGTCTTGTTTGTCTAATTCGTGTCGCGCTACGCATTATTAATAAGGATCAGCTCCAACGTTGCTTAAAAATCAATTTAGATTCACTTTACGCCACGTTATATTTAACTTTTCAACCAATTTGATGATCTAAAATATTAAAATTTTAATTTTAAATAGGTTCTATGTCATAAGTTTATTAAAATAATTTTCCTTGTTATTTTTATAACAAAATCTTAAAAATAAGAAAGTTATTTTATTGGATTTGAAACAAATCATATTATTTTATAAATAACGTTATTTTATTTATATTTTTTATAATTTAAAGTTCTAAAATAAAAGAAAAAAATAAAACAAAGCTTATTACTTTTTGTTTTTGTAGTAACACAGTGTCATTTTGTTGTTTGGCTTCTTGCTGTCATTATTGTCTGTTTGATAGAAATGACTGTAATGTATATTTGTTCCGGAATACGACAACAGTTAGCACGTATATTGACATCTACATTACATCTCTATCTATATAATAAGAAAAATCGACACCAGTTTATTCTACAAACTACCGAAATCGCAAATCAAGATATAAATATTGATCATACGTAGTATTTTATATTGGTAAGGTGCAACATATTCATTAACTATTTTATAGAATAATCATAAATAAATAAAAAGTAAGCAATTATAGAAATCCCATAGTATGATTTAATAGTAATTAATTAATTAATTACTACTAAAAACAATAATTAAACTCTCTTGAAGTGTAAGTGATGCTCTTATAAATTGAAAGTAGAAAATCTAATTAATAATTCGAAACGAGTTAATTTTAATCTTTTAATAATTAATATATCATTAGTTAAATTTTTGGATCGTATTGAAGTGATTACTTTAGATTATTAAAAACTTGAAATTTAAAAATGGATATATATGGATATACATCAAAAAAATCGAAGCTGTAAAACATATTTAGTAAGTTTTAGAAGATAAATATTGCAAATCGTGTATTGATAAATGAAATCAAATACATATTATATTCTAAAACATAAAACATTTTTCCTGAAAATAGTAATGTTCAATTTTATTATAAGAAGCTCCATACGGAAAGATATAATTTTCCTAGAGATTATACCTAGAAGCAAATGTTGGTGCAAGAGATATTTTATTGATAATAAAAGAATTGCTTAAATCCAATTCTTTTTTTGAAAATTGAGATTATGGTGTTGGTACGAAATACTATATAAATAAGAAAAAAAATTTAAATTTTACTCTTTAGACTTATTTACATTTTAAGTGATCGTTTAAATCAATAATATTTACTTTCGCTTTTCTTCTTTAGTTGTCGACTATGTGATTTTTAAAGTACGATAAAATTTCAAAATGTTTTAAATATCAGTTTATTAATATAACCACAAAATATCAAGGTGAAATATATTATTTAAATTCACATCAACATATAAGTGTCTTCTTTTTCATAAAAATTTGTAATATATTAATAATTTAATTTTAATAAAACGTAATAATAAGAAAAGCATAATTGACTTAATTTCTTTCCATAAAATATTTATTAAAGAAAACGCTTTAAAATTTCTTATAAATTTTGAATATTTCTCGTAATAATTTAAAACAAGGATACAAACGTAAATAAATTATTCATATAATATTAAAATATTTTAAAATAAATTTTAAGATGTGAACAGAATTTGAAAAATGCCTTTGAAATGAAAAGAAAAATGCGCTTATTGCCAATTTATTATTAACGTTGCATTCTAAGAAAATCTAGAAGGCATTTCTTTAAAAGATTGCTATTAAAGTGGATAAACTTTCTTTATTCGGGCAAATAACTTTATCTGACGAAAAATGTTTTAATTCTTGACAATGATTTTGAAAGTTTAAATCGATTTCTATTCGCTTCGGGCAATTTTTGCTTCTGACCATAAATATTGAAGTCATTGTAATGTCAAAAAATAAGAATATATTGTATCCATAAAAACTGGATTGCGGGTTTATTAATTGCAAATCACATCTAATGTACCTGTATTATGCATATATTTATAGAGCAGTCCACGAGTGATTTATTATATTCATCTCGAATTAAATTTTGTATGTCTGTATTTTATTTGTTTTACGATTAAAATGAGAACGTAAGTTATATTTAAAATTATTTATAATGTAAAAACCGTCTCCTTATAACGTTAGTCTACATTATTAACAGAATTTTGTAGTTTGGGATTTCTATATTTTATATTAACTATTCGTTAAATTCTCGATAATTATGAAGAAACTATTAATTTTCATTCGATATACAATATAAATTATTACGTTAATTTTTAATTAAAAGTTATTATAATAACTATAATAACTATGCTTAAATTAACTTTGATTACTCTATATTTGTGAGCTATAAAGACGATGAAAGCTTTTTACTAAGGCCAAAAACACTTTCAAAATTTAAAATAAAATAAATACAAAGTGTTTTCTCATATTTTTTTGTGATAAATAAATTTGAAAATTGAAATATAGTAAATATTCAGGAGTTTTTGTTTCATTTTTACAAAAGCTGATTATTGAAAATAATTGGATTGATGGGATAAGGCAATGCAAAACAGAGACAATCTGTCAAGGGGAAGTGTATCTCGGGAGGACATTTATGGGAAACTAGCCCCTATTCAGGTGTTAATATTATTAACAATTTCTCAAAAATGTGATGTGATGGCCAAACTTAGAAATTAGTTTAATAAAATATAACAAAAAAGTTATGTTGACCAATGTAATTAATGAAGATATAGTTTTGTTTAATCTTTTATTTTTAAAAAAGAACTAAAATATATTATATAATTTAATACTATAGTATACTAAATAAATTACTAAACTACATTAAATAATAAAATGTATTGCTAAATTATATTTTGAATTAGTAATAATTTATATCAAAGTTATTATTTCATAAAATATTTTAAAATCGATCTGTCAGAAAGTATTTTTACAGAATTTTCAAATGCATTTATTTATTCGTGTGAAAATAGCATAATTTTCTAATACGAGATATTTTTAAATTACTTTCGGAAACTAGATTCGGTTCTTTAACAACGTAAACAAAATTCAGAAAGAAAATATCTTCGACGCTGTTCATTATTATAAGCGTATCACTTTCTGTCAGTATAATGGAAAACTGTCTGTACTCAAGCTCGTTATTAATGCATCGCGTTATACTGTAAAATATTTTATATTAAATAGAGTAATTCAATTAAATAATTTCAAATATTTCAATAATTGTCAAATATTAAAATTTGACAATCTATAAATTTAATATCTTGATTGCGTTATTCTTCATCAAGTAATACTTTAATGTAATTTAATTTAGCTTTAATGAAATGCTCGTAATTTTTAATTTAGAATTTATTTTCAATAAACTATTTAAGTTATTTTCTTTTATTATATTTGAAAAATCGATTGTAATTAATTAAAAGTTGTAAGAAGCCTTACTCACTAGACACATAAAGTATGAAATATATTTTGCTTATATTTTTTATCGAATAAATTAAGGAATTAGAATTATCAATCTATTGATTAATTGAAATAGTATAGTTTAATATAACATCTATTATTGTAAAACAAAGCACAGTCGCGGGAAAAAATAAATAAAATTTATTCTAAATAACATCACAGAACTATATCGAAAAAAAAGACACAGGTGGAATATGACTGCTGATAACTGATCTCATGACACCATTTTTTTTTTTATTTAAATTTAGAAATTGTTTTAAATAAATTATTTTATATAGTCTATATTTGTTTTGTTCTGAATTTGTTAGGCTTTATTCGATGAAAAATATTCTAAACTTTAAAGTAGGATTTATTAGGGATACTTTAGTGTTATAGATATAAAGTACAGAATATACTGGATAAAATAAGAAAAGAAAACATTCAAATTTTATGTCAGTATACAATATTTACAATTAAAAATGCCATTTTGGAGGAATTATATTGATAAAATATAACACTTATTTATTGAAATTAATTAACCTTTATGTTTTTGTCTTAAGATTTTTTACTTATTTTTATTATATTTTCAGATTAAAGGTAATTAGTAAAATTAAATATTAAATGGAGATTAACGTTATAATAAGAAAATATTAGTTAAATGCAACATTTGAATAACGTTAAAATCAGTTATTTGTAAATGTTTCACTAACGAATTAAATCCCCAAAATATTTATGGATATAATTCATTAATAAACCAAATAAATTATCCGTAATATTACTTTTAAAAATAATTTGCATTAAATTAAAAATAACAAAAACAAATTTAATAAAGATAATTTTGCGGTTCAAATTTATACTAATTTCCTATTAAGAAATTTTCTGAGTGAAGATTAAACATTTGATTATCAATGACTACTTAAAATAGAGTTAAATTAGATAAAAATCACTTCTATTTTATTTTATTTTGCAGGTTGCTTAGAAACCAAGTGAAAATAACGTAATAATTATTCTTAAAACATAATTTTTCTGTTACTCCTTGATTTTATTTAAATAAACATTTCAACTACATGAAATCAATCTACACTGAGATGTTTACACTTAGTAACTTTCCTCCGAGAATTTTTATAATAGTAATTATCGAAGTGAGAAAATATTTTTAATACAGATAAGCAGAATGATAAAGACGTTGCTTATTTCCACGTTTATGAAAACAATTGAAAATTTTGCTAAAAATATTGTAATTTTAAGAAATACAGTAGAGCATCGATTATCCGACCCCCGATTAACCGTCACATCGGTTAATCGACCGTTCTAGTCGGCAAATTCAAATGTCCGCTAGTGATGTGGCGCTACAATATTTGACTATGTCTTGGCTACTTTAATAGTATTTTTACGTGTTTTAGCTGGCAACAATCATCGGACCNTAAAACAAGGATACAAACGTAAATAAATTATTCATATAATATTAAAATATTTTAAAATAAATTTTAAGATGTGAACAGAATTTGAAAAATGCCTTTGAAATGAAAAGAAAAATGCGCTTATTGCCAATTTATTATTAACGTTGCATTCTAAGAAAATCTAGAAGGCATTTCTTTAAAAGATTGCTATTAAAATGGATAAACTTTCTTTATTCGGGCAAATAACTTTATCTGACGAAAAATGTTTTAATTCTTGACAATGATTTTGAAAGTTTAAATCGATTTCTATTCGCTTCGGGCAATTTTTGCTTCTGACCATAAATATTGAAGTCATTGTAATGTCAAAAAATAAGAATATATTGTATCCATAAAAACTGGATTGCGGGTTTATTAATTGCAAATCACATCTAATGTACCTGTATTATGCATATATTTATAGAGCAGTCCACGAGTGATTTATTATATTCATCTCGAATTAAATTTTGTATGTCTGTATTTTATTTGTTTTACGATTAAAATGAGAACGTAAGTTATATTTAAAATTATTTATAATGTAAAAACCGTCTCCTTACAACGTTAGTCTACATTATTAACAGAATTTTGTAG